TTATGTGAAATTTTATGTGATTTTAACAATAAGCTTGTGAAACGACGGAAAATAAAAGTATTGTATTGAGGAACACAAGCAGGATGCAATTAAGATATAAGGTTATACAATATTTCAGATGAGTTCATAAAAATGTACAATGGCATTAGTCATACAGTAAAAACACAAGAAGTCTTCCTGTATATCTAACGACGCATTCAACCGATTAGATAGTATAACGAAAATAGCATGATTATTGAACAATTAACTGGGAAGAAAGAACGCGGAAGGATGCGGAAGTGGTCTGGATTCACTCCAGGATGCAAACGTGTTCCGGAGCGAGAGTGACGTCATCTGCTTCGCAAACAACGAGACTGTGAGACGATGACTGGCATACTTCATGATTTTTACCTGCAGCAAAACGAGCTTCGAGCTTCCATACCCAAAGGAAGGATGTTGTGATTCAAACGACATGCAATTTCTAACAGGAGCGAGATGAGCGTATGAAGCACCAGAGGAACTAATTTAAAATTTATGGAAGGTTTATGAAAGTATACACCCAAGAAAAGTAATTTTGGACGTAGTGTATAGCATGAACTATCATGGACGAATATGAATTAAACGAAACTAGCTTCCCATAGCGCAATGTGTATATCCACACATTACAAAAACTCGAAATGAAACAGCAAACTTGCACGACTTACATGACAAAACATCTTCGCGCAACACAAAGAATAAACACCCTGTAATACGAGGAGGTACACAGCTCACAGACGTAATCTCAACTGAAAGGTCAAAAAGCGTGGGTTATCACAACGATAACTTTTCACGCCACAGAAATCAAACGTTTTGTATGTTAATGACTATAGTTCTTTATGACGCAAAAGGAAGCTTTCGACAAGGTAATAAGCCTTACCCTTCTTGGACAGAGCGATTTTCTTCTTGCTTTCTGAGACCGCAGCAGGTAGGGTGGCTGATTTCTGCTCCAGTATCTGATGGCCGTTCTCTTGTTCCTCATTCTTCATACCATTTCTCTTCAACGTGAAGGACTTCATATTGGGGCTCAAAGCTCCATTCGTACCCCCATTCTGCTCTTTCAAAATAAACACTGCAGACGCATTTTGGGCATCTGTCGTCTCAGAAGCGGACACCGCATTGGTTGACGACGTCAGCGTCTTCATTGTTTTACGTAGTTAATCGAATGTAGTGATACGTTTCACACGCCACGTTAAAACAATCACTCCCAGCATGAATTTATGAAACTCCACTTAGTAAATCCAATCCAGCTGGAAAAAATTATACAAGTCAGTAAAGTTCGGTGTGTTACAAGCTTACGCTGACAGGAGATATTTAAATGGGGAGAGTGCCATTACGTAACACGCTGCACGATTTTCATTTTTACAACAGTTACATGACGCCATATTTCAAGCAATATTCTTTACACAAAGGCTGTTTTAGACTGATATTACAGAGCCCTCGATTACTTTTTAATGCGTGTATTTCTGTTATATAATGGTTTTCTTGATGTTGAAATGGAAAGAGAAACATTTATTATACAACGGTCACAGTCGATGGAAAGTGTTCCAGGAACTACTTTTACTGCCGGAAAGTAAAATGTCAGCATGTTACACGCAGACAAAAGCAAGTTCTGTGTGTGTACAGTAACTGGAAAAAGTTACGTTCATGTGAAACTGACAATACAGGAGACAATTATAAGATCACAGGCTAAATGGAGTCTATTGAGGTCGCAGGTTACCATTTCAGGACATCATCACGACTGTAGCTATGATAAAGAAATCACTGCACCACTGCTATGGTATTTCGAATTTGTAAGTTAAAGAGACAAACCTGTGCTTTACAGCAGTGAGCCAATGCTCTGGAGCCAAATGAATCCGCAAATTGGTGGGGGGGGGGGACATTTAGAACACAGAACCCGAAAGAAAAAGTAATAATTCAGAACAAAGAGAACAAAATCTACAGAAAGAAAAAGGGCTTCTCGTTTATATCTTTCCACTGAAGGACATGGTAAATGTGTTCATTAAAACGTCTTAGATTGAGAATAAAAAACGACGATAAAATAGAACACACGGTTCCCGTAAAAAGATGCCAGAAAAAATGCAAGCCTAGCTTTGACAGGATGCTCGGTAAATATGTTACAACAGACAGTTATATAAGAAGTCTTGTTATAAAATATAGCGCAGATAAGGAACACTGGAAACGAGTCCCGTGCAACGAAAACCATGAATCAAACCGTGGTTTGGAGGAGGTCCTTGATACGAATTTTAAAGAGAAACTTTTGGAGTTCTCCGGTTCGAAACGTGAACACCATAGCATCACTTCTATTATTTTATTCGATTTAACAAACCAAAAGAGAGAGAATTTTTTTTCAAACCCTACCGACTTTGGCCCACACGCTCGCCAAGAGAAACAATTTTGAAATCGTGCTCTTTTCATGAGCAGTCTTACATAAAGTGGTTTATGTGAGATGGAGGAATCAGATAATACTTGAGCTAACTGAGCAGAAACGAAATTTATGTTCCTTGTAACAACACTGGAAAGAGGAAAAATGATGCTCAGTCATTCTACACGTCAGTGCAAAGCGAACACAAACAAGTGTTTTAGGTCTGTTTATTCGGCAATTTCATGACAATCTATGAACTGAACATACTAAACAACGAATGAGACATGGTAGGATGACTGAGATGAATCAGTGGAATGTGGCCTACTTTAAAGTATCCTACAATGAGCAGACAAAAACCATGAGAATATAAAAGTACAGCCGGTCCCTAGCTGTAATTCCTGTATGCGAGTTAGATGTTTTAAAGTTCTGTACAGGGACCAGCGAACTACGCCAACGGGTTGAATGTCACCGGTGAAGAAATTTTATCCGGGCTACTATGTTCCGGGAATATTAATAGCTTGAAATTTTGTTAATTGCTTAATTTCTCATAAATATTTAATATATTATACTCGCAACTACATCTAGATGCTTATAAGACGCAAGTTTTGGGTCCTACTGTAAGTTGCGAGCATATCTAAAACTGCATACGATAAAGTCAAGTGAGGCCCTCTTCAGATTAGGATAATTCATGAAGACATTATTAAATACCATGAAGTGTTCCAAATAATGATGTTATTTTGTTTTCTGATAGGATCTGTAACTATAAATTAAGTTCAATCAGAATGATTAGCTGTTAATTTCAACATTTTTAATTATTCAATTTTTCACACTTTTAAATATGCTGTCTCGAGTCGAATTATCAACCCCGCGCTATCTTGGTAGCATTTTGTAGACGTAAGAGAGCGCAAAAACGCTTAGCTAACCGAATCAGCGAGGTGGATGTTTGGTGGTTAGAAGAAAAATATTTCACCGAAGACAGACAGTGCAAACTAAAACAAAGATATCTTTTCACCTACTTCAATCTCATGTGAATTTTAAACTTTTGACATAAACAGTCACTTAAATCATTATCAGCCATCAACACATTTTTTTCCTGCAGTACGAACATTCTCTTTACTCACACACAACAAATATTTGTACGAAATGCAAATCAACAAAAACCTTTCAAGAGTTTAAAGGTTGGTACCGGTTACAAGCGCAAGATTTGACATAAACTGTTCAGTCACAGCATACTTTACACAAAACTGAATGTCCTGTTGGATGTTACGTAAGTTTCACGTATATCCTCAGAATCAGATCCCACCCCTCAAATTTATAAAATTCTATGTGTGTCTGTAAAAATTGCCTGTAAATGCTGATAGTTTTATACAAGAACCGAACACAGAGAGGTACACGTTACCCCACATTACATTCGGCCTCTGTTCCATCGCCTCAAATTTCGCCACGTTTGCAATCGATTCCAACCAACAGAACTTGCAAATGTAACAACTACAAACAGATAAATATAAACTCTGAACACAAATCATACCGTATATTGGAATACAATTACAATTATTTATTACGAAAACAAAATTCCACGGTGGATGAGAGATATTCGCTTTCGATCGCGTCCTCAAAACTCAAACGCGTGATCTTCACACGATGACGAAATCATAAAAACACTCCTTCCTTAGAAGCTCGCGCTTTAAAAAATGGTCCAGATTTTACTACACAGAACTTAAAAAAACACCGGTATTTCACTGTGTCGGGGTTCGTCCACACCTCGCCACACCTGCAGAACAACTAACACTGAACAGACTGGACTGCCTAGACTGGACGCTCGACAGCAACACACAGACACTTGCCACAGCATTCCCAGTCTGCTGGAGAAGGAGAACGTCCAAGAGTATGGTCGTCTGCCTACGTATTTCCATCCTCCGGTATTCATGGCACACAACACGATTACTTTTTCTTGGTCTAACACCATTATCTTATTACAACGGCGTGTCGCCATGGTAATAAGCTGTCACAGTTCGTGATGGTGACTAATCATATCTCAGCTGTCGATGGTCCTCTGGGTTGTAACGCCATGTGAACTTGTAATCCTGAAGAAACAGGCACTATGTTCCTCTGAAACGTTGGTAAACATCGACCAGACTACACAGCACAACAACCCAGAAGACAGAAATCTTCATCCACGACTCTCTCTAAAAGCGAACTTTTGTGTCGTCTCTGTGAAGTGATATAAAACGAATCAATCCAATATAAATTACAAAAATAAACAATTTACATTCGTTTTTGTAAAGGCTCTGACAACCAAAGCCATTACCACACTATCGTATTACAGAAATATTTTCTCTGCTCAATGACCAGCAGCAGTTATCTTATGAGATAACCAAATTTTTATTTCCAAATTACATAAACATCAGACAATTTTCTTATCTTCTCTAATCTTCATAAAGAAATGTGAAAGTGACATTCTATATCTAAGAAACTGAAAAACACTGGTTCTGGTTCCAAGATGGCTGTCTTCTATGTTGTCGCGCCATGTAGTCGGGCAACAGTTTACCGACGTTTCAGAGGTGCTTGCTGCCTCCATCATCAAAGTGATGGCACCTAAGACACGACAGTAAACTTTTGCCCGACTACATGGTGCGACAACCCAAATTAACTTGCCTTCGAAAAACTAGCGTTTCTGAACCTTGAATTCTGCTGTCACAGAGTTAGTTAGTTACTTTGCTATTTGGTTAGTTAGTATAGACATAAAACTGTTGTGAAGGCCTCATTATACAAATCTGTTAACACATTCGTCGTTAGCATAAAGTTTCTTTCAGTTCATGGTCGACCATTATAAAGTACACAGACCTTGAAAAGCAGATCATTCCCGCAATCTTACTTCAAATAATCTCTCTCCACTACGGGAAACAAACATCAACCAACCACACCTTCCTTCCTGCTTCACGCAACGAGTTATAAAACTTTAAGCAGCAAGAATTGCTGATAATATCGGAAAAGGTTTAACGACCAAACATAAAACTCACCCGATACAACACACACTGTTCAATAAATTTCCTATTGCTGTTGAGTATCCATCCTACAAAAATTCGCTATCAGACCCAGACCAATCAAATTCACATCATCACAGTCTATTCTAAAGCAAAACCAGGGACAGTCTCGATCAATCTATATTTCCCATTCACAAATACATAAAATGTATAGAAATCATGCAAAAATACTGTCACGTCGCCATGTTCCTGAGATAAACCATGTGCTCATCAGCGGTAAGGCCCAAAGAAAGTAAAGTTTAATTAATTTGATCATGCAACTTTGGGAACACGAAAGCTACCAAATTACATTATAAATTCTTGAACATTTCTAAAAGACAAGGAATTTTTGAGCGTTAACCCTGTCGTTTAGTTTTCGCGGCTGAAGTTCAATGTACAATTTCGGCTTTAGATGGAGCTCATCCTCGGAATCCGAAGTCGTTCAAAATACGAACCTATTTTGCTGTAATATACAGAAGTCGGATTGCACAGTAAGCGCAACAAATGCCAAACACAAATGAAAGGATCATTTCGCAACAAAAAGTCCACATGAACATGGGTTCGTTATCGGGTACATCCCACTTTTCCCGTTTCTCTAGTCTCTCGGTGCAACGACACACAGCGAAGGCAATACAGGAACGGAAGGGCATGCGAGATGAACTCTCAGCGACACACTCTGGTATCAACGGCACAAACAGAAGTGTCTGTTATTTAAGGTTAGTTCACACTGTGTGGCAGGTCACTTTCGATAAAGTATAATAGGAATGCTATGGGGAGGGCAGAAAGCATTCAGACTGGAAGGTCAGGTCTAGGACAGTCGCTGAAGGAGGCAACTTTTGTCCATGTCCCAAGCCTCTCGGCT